GCCACGTACGGCAAGCATGGGTTGCTGAAGATCAATTCTAACCCGGATCTTCACGGGGTGCATGCATTGTGGAATCTAATATCGCTTCCCATCAGTAGCGGCAAACAAACTTGTGTATGTATGTATAGTGTGCGACATGACATATGTTTCATTTGTATGCCTCTAATGGATTATTTTATGCATTCCAGCTTTTAAAAAGTGTAACATCACTATCTATAACAAGGAGACAACATCAGGTATGTACACACGATGCCGCCATCTACCAAAGTGACACTGATTACCTTGCTAGAACATTCAGACTGAATGTACTTAGGAATATTCAACACGTTGTCTCAAATCGCATGGTAAATGTGATAGTTATACTCTAAATGATGAATGCCATAGTTCGTGTTTATAGTTACAACAGTGGTGAAATATGACATTTTTCAATGACTAATGTCGTATCGCTACTATATATATTAAGAAAAATAGTTTTGTGTGCAAATCAAAAGTTACAAAACAAGCGAGAATCTCATGAACATACGTATGTCTTAAATGACTCTATGGCGTTACTTAATATCGTTTAAAAGTCTGTTTTGCAAATCGAGGGTTCAGCATAGTAAATGAATGATAAAGGGTCTGGTGCATTGTGTGTGTATAATTATTTCTGACACAGTTTGATATGAAATTATAAGACCAAACACTCTCTCCCAAAAGGTCTTGATTATTTTATGATCAACCGATTAGGTATCTGTTGGACATTTTATATATAGCTTTGGATTAGCATTGAGTGTGTAGATAACTTTTAATCTGATTTCTGTCATATTTCTGAACGTCAACCCTTATTTATCTTGACAGTTGTCAGAAGAGAGCAAGACATACCAGTTGCTGACAGATGTCCTGGTCCAAACCAAACGTCAAGTGGGGCTGTGGCAACGCCTCGATTCAGAAATGCAGGTTGCAGACTTTAAAGTCAAAGTAGATGACATACGTGACCATGTAGAAACTTCAAATGACAAAGTTAACAGGATGGAACAACAACATTCACTGCGCAATAACGTCAGAAGTACTGGTGTTCAAGAGGAAGCTGGTGAGTACACAGATGATGAGATGGTTCTTAATGTTGCAAAATCTATCGGTGTTGACCTGTCCCTGGAGACATCGATATCAGTCATTGAGTGCCAAGGTTGCCTCCATCAGTTTTGAACGATTTTACAGGAAGTCCTTGTCTTGTGGGCAAGTTAAGGTATACATTCAGAGGAGTCAAGTATCTGAGACAAAAACAAATCAAACCACCTATCAAATTCTTGAGACAGCATGTTTTGTCGGACTAAAAGGTTTACTTGAAACTCGCTATGCTATCGGTTCCACGTCAAGGTGGCATAGAATAATCATTGACGGAAACTTGAAACTACGGAACTTTGCCTGACCCACAGGAACTCTGTCCACCATAATCTTTACAGGGGAGGAAGGCAAAAATTTACATTGTGGGCAAAGTTCCGTAAGTTCCTGAATTCCACCTAGTCTGACAACTCATCTATTTACTTGTTCGGCACAACAAAATAATTTCAATTTAGTGTTTATCTGTATTTCAGAAACAAGTGTTCCAGCGGACCTACACATGCAGTGTGGACAAACAGGTGGTGTTTCTGAACGTTCGAACGCCGCAGCAGACAACAGTGGAAATATGATTCACAATAACCAAACAGTAAACGGTATGCATTGCGTCACTAAATCATCAGGGCTTGGGATATATTGGAGATGAACATATACTAATACATGAAATTGTTCTTATAAGTTGGTGTAGTAGCCTGGGTACGACTGCACGCAATCAGCTTGTCACTGTGCCTTTTCCACACTGTCCTTTTGGTGAAATGTTGCGACGGGTAAAGGATACTTCGCAGTAAATGTATCCCAGAATATATGTGAAGTCTGCTGTATGTAAACTTTGTTTGTTTGTCATACTCAGCAATATTCCATCCATATGGTGGCGGTCTGGAAACAATCGAGTCTGGACTAGACAATCCAGTGATCAACAGCATGAGCATCTTTCTACGCAGTTGGGATACAATGACATGTGTCAGCCAAGTCAGCGAGCCTGACCGCGCGATCCCATTAGTCGCCTCTTACGATAAGCACGGGTTACTGAAGACCAATTATAGCCTGACAACTTGAACCCGTTAGTTGCCACGTACGGCAAGCATGGGTTGCTGAAGATCAATTCTAACCCGGATCTTCACGGGGTGCATGCATTGTGGAATCTAATATCGCTTCCCATCAGTAGCGGCAAACAAACTTGTGTATGTATGTATAGTGTGTGACATGACATATGTTTCATTTGTATGCCTCTAATGGATTATTTTATGCATTCCAGCTTTTAAAAAGTGTAACATCACTATCTATAACAAGGAGACAACATCAGGTATGTACACACGATGCCGCCATCTACCAAAGTGACACTGATTACCTTGCTAGAACATTCAGACTGAATGTACTTAGGAATATTCAACACGTTGTCTCAAATCGCATGGTAAATGTGATAGTTATACTCTAAATGATGAATGCCATAGTTCGTGTTTATAGTTACAACAGTGGTGAAATATGACATTTTTCAATGACTAATGTCGTATCGCTACTATATATATTAAGAAAAATAGTTTTGTGTGCAAATCAAAAGTTACAAACAAGCGAGAATCTCATGAACATACGTATGTCTTAAATGACTCTATGGCGTTACTTAATATCGTTTAAAAGTCTGTTTTGCAAATCGAGGGTTCAGCATAGTAAATGAATGATAAAGGGTCTGCATTGTGTGTGTATAATTATTTCTGACACAGTTTGATATGAAATTATAAGACCAAACACTCTCTCCAAAAGGTCTTGATTATTTTATGATCAACCGATTAGGTATCTGTTGGACATTTTATATATAGCTTTGGATTAGCATTGAGTGTGTAGATAACTTTAATCTGATTTCTGTCATATTTCTGAACGTCAACCCTTATTTATCTTGACAGTTGTCAGAAGAGAGCAAGACATACCAGTTGCTGACAGATGTCCTGGTCCAAACCAAACGTCAAGTGGGGCTGTGGCAACGCCTCGGGATTCAGAAATGCAGGTTGCAGACTTTAAAGTCAAAGTAGATGACATACGTGACCATGTAGAAACTTCAAATGACAAAGTTAACAGGATGGAACAACAACATTCACTGCGCAATAACGTCAGAAGTACTGGTGTTCAAGAGGAAGCTGGTGAGTACACAGATGAGATGGTTCTTAATGTTGCAAAATCTATCGGTGTTGACCTGTCCCTGGAGACATCGATATCAGTCATTGAGTGCCAAGGTTGCCTCCATCAGTTTTGAACGATTTTACAGGAAGTCCTTGTCTTGTGGGCAAGTTAAGGTATACATTCAGAGGAGTCAAGTATCTGAGACAAAACAAATCAAAACCACCTATCAAATTCTTGAGACAGCATGTTTTGTCGGACTAAAAGGTTTACTTGAAACTCGCTATGCTATCGGTTCCACGTCAAGGTGGCATAGAATAATCATTGACGGAAACTTGGAAACTACGGAACTTTGCTCACCCACGGAACTCTGTCCACCATAATCTTTACAGGGAGGAAGGCAAAATTTACATTGTGGGCAAAGTTCCGTAAGTTCCTGAATTCCACCTAGTCTGACAACTCATCTATTTACTTGTTCGGCACAACAAAATAATTTCAATTTAGTGTTTATCTGTATTTCAGAAACAAGTGTTCCAGCGGACCTACACATGCAGTGTGGACAAACAGGTGGTGTTTCTGAACGTTCGAACGCCGCAGCAGACAACAGTGGAAATATGATTCACAATAACCAAACAGTAAACGGTATGCATTGCGTCACTAAATCATCAGGGCTTGGGATATATTGGAGATGAACATATACTAATACATGAAATTGTTCTTATAAGTTGGTGTAGTAGCCTGGGTACGACTGCACGCAATCAGCTTGTCACTGTGCCTTTCCACACTGTCCTTTTGGTGAAATGTTGCGACGGGTAAAGGATACTTCGCAGTAAATGTATCCCAGAATATATGTGAAGTCTGCTGTATGTAAACTTTGTTTGTTTGTCATACTCAGCAATATTCCATCCATATGGTGGCGGTCTGGAAACAATCGAGTCTGGACTAGACAATCCAGTGATCAACAGCATGAGCATCTTTCTACGCAGTTGGGATACAATGACATGTGTCAGCCAAGTCAGCGAGCCTGACCGCGCGATCCCATTAGTCGCCTCTTACGATAAGCACGGGTTACTGAAGACCAATTATAGCCTGACAACTTGAACCCGTTAGTTGCCACGTACGGCAAGCATGGGTTGCTGAAGATCAATTCTAACCCGGATCTTCACGGGGTGCATGCATTGTGGAATCTAATATCGCTTCCCATCAGTAGCGCGCAAACAAACTTGTGTATGTATGTATAGTGTGTGACATGACATATGTTTCATTTTGTATGCCTCTAATGGATTATTTTATGCATTCCAGCTTTTAAAAGTGTAACATCACTATCTATAACAAGGAGACAACATCAGGTATGTACACACGATGCCGCCATCTACCAAAGTGACACTGATTACCTTGCTAGAACATTCAGACTGAATGTACTTAGGAATATTCAACACGTTGTCTCAAATCGCATGGTAAATGTGATAGTTATACTCTAAATGATGAATGCCATAGTTCGTGTTTATAGTTACAACAGTGGTGAAATATGACATTTTTCAATGACTAATGTCGTATCGCTACTATATATATTAAGAAAAATAGTTTTTGTGTGCAAATCAAAAGTTACAAAACAAGCGAGAATCTCATGAACATACGTATGTCTTAAATGACTCTATGGCGTTACTTAATATCGTTTAAAAGTCTGTTTTGCAAATCGAGGGTTCAGCATAGTAAATGAATGATAAAGGGTCTGGTGCATTGTGTGTGTATAATTCTTTCTGACACATTTCGATATGAAATTATAAGACCAAACACTCTCTCCCAAAAGGTCTTGATTATTTTATGATCAACCGATTAGGTATCTGTTGGACATTTTATATATAGCTTTGGATTAGCATTGAGTGTGTAGATAACTTTAATCTGATTTCTGTCATATTTCTGAACACCCCTTATTTATCTTGACAGTTGTCAGAAGAGAGCAAGACATACCAGTTGCTGACAGATGTCCTGGTCCAAACCAAACGTCAAGTGGGGCTGTGGCAACGCCTCGGGATTCAGAAATGCAGGTTGCAGACTTTAAAGTCAAAGTAGATGACATACGTGACCATGTAGAAACTTCAAATGACAAAGTTAACAGGATGGAACAACAACATTCACTGCGCAATAACGTCAGAAGTACTGGTGTTCAAGAGGAAGCTGGTGAGTACACAGATGAGATGGTTCTTAATGTTGCAAAATCTATCGGTGTTGACCTGTCCCTGGAGACATCGATATCAGTCATTGAGTGCCAAGGTTGCCTCCATCAGTTTTGAACGATTTTACAGGAAGTCCTTGTCTTGTGGGCAAGTTAAGGTATACATTCAGAGGAGTCAAGTATCTGAGACAAAAACAAATCAAAACCACCTATCAAATTCTTGAGACAGCATGTTTTGTCGGACTAAAAAGGTTTACTTGAAACTCGCTATGCTATCGGTTCCACGTCAAGGTGGCATAGAATAATCATTGACAGAAACTTGGAAACTACGGAACTTTGCCCACCCACGGGAACTCTGTCCACCATAATCTTTACAGGGGAGGAAGGCAAAAAATTTACATTGTGGGCAAAGTTCCGTAAGTTCCTGAATTCCACCTAGTCTGACAACTCATCTATTTACTTGTTCGGCACAACAAAATAATTTCAATTTAGTGTTTATCTGTATTTCAGAAACAAGTGTTCCAGCGGACCTACACATGCAGTGTGGACAAACAGGTGGTGTTTCTGAACGTTCGAACGCCGCAGCAGACAACAGTGGAAATATGATTCACAATAACCAAACAGTAAACGGTATGCATTGCGTCACTAAATCATCAGGGCTTGGGATATATTGGAGATGAACATATACTAATACATGAAATTGTTCTTATAAGTTGGTGTAGTAGCCTGGGTACGACTGCACGCAATCAGCTTGTCACTGTGCCTTTCCACACTGTCCTTTTGGTGAAATGTTGCGACGGGTAAAGGATACTTCGCAGTAAATGTATCCCAGAATATATGTGAAGTCTGCTGTATGTAAACTTTGTTTTGTTTGTCATACTCAGCAATATTCCATCCATATGGTGGCGGTCTGAAACAATCGAGTCTGGACTAGACAATCCAGTGATCAACAGCATGAGCATCTTTCTACGCAGTTGGGATACAATGACATGTGTCAGCCAAGTCAGCGAGCCTGACCGCGCGATCCCATTAGTCGCCTCTTACGATAAGCACGGGTTACTGAAGACCAATTATAGCCTGACAACTTGAACCCGTTAGTTGCCACGTACGGCAAGCATGGGTTGCTGAAGATCAATTCTAACCCGGATCTTCACGGGTGCATGCATTGTGGAATCTAATATCGCTTCCCATCAGTAGCGGCAAACAAACTTGTGTATGTATGTATAGTGTGTGACATGACATATGTTTCATTTGTATGCCTCTAATGGATTATTTTATGCATTCCAGCTTTTAAAAAGTGTAACATCACTATCTATAACAAGGAGACAACATCAGGTATGTACACACGATGCCGCCATCTACCAAAGTGACACTGATTACCTTGCTAGAACATTCAGACTGAATGTACTTAGGAATATTCAACACGTTGTCTCAAATCGCATGGTAAATGTGATAGTTATACTCTAAATGATGAATGCCATAGTTCGTGTTTATAGTTACAACAGTGGTGAAATATGACATTTTCAATGACTAATGTCGTATCGCTACTATATATATTAAGAAAAATAGTTTTTGTGTGCAAATCAAAAGTTACAAAACAAGCGAGAATCTCATGAACATACGTATGTCTTAAATGACTCTATGGCGTTACTTAATATCGTTTAAAAGTCTGTTTTGCAAATCGAGGGTTCAGCATAGTAAATGAATGATAAAGGGTCTGGTGCATTGTGTGTGTATAATTATTTCTGACACAGTTTGATATGAAATTATAAGACCAAACACTCTCTCCAAAAGGTCTTGATTATTTTATGATCAACCGATTAGGTATCTGTTGGACATTTTATATATAGCTTTGGATTAGCATTGAGTGTGTAGATAACTTTAATCTGATTTCTGTCATATTTCTGAACGTCAACCCTTATTTATCTTGACAGTTGTCAGAAGAGAGCAAGACATACCAGTTGCTGACAGATGTCCTGGTCCAAACCAAACGTCAAGTGGGGCTGTGGCAACGCCTCGGGATTCAGAAATGCAGGTTGCAGACTTTAAAGTCAAAGTAGATGACATACGTGACCATGTAGAAACTTCAAATGACAAAGTTAACAGGATGGAACAACAACATTCACTGCGCAATAACGTCAGAAGTACTGGTGTTCAAGAGGAAGCTGGTGAGTACACAGATGAGATGGTTCTTAATGTTGCAAAATCTATCGGTGTTGACCTGTCCCTGGAGACATCGATATCAGTCATTGAGTGCCAAGGTTGCCTCCATCAGTTTTGAACGATTTTACAGGAAGTCCTTGTCTTGTGGGCAAGTTAAGGTATACATTCAGAGGAGTCAAGTATCTGAGACAAAAACAAATCAAAACCACCTATCAAATTCTTGAGACAGCATGTTTTGTCGGACTAAAAGGTTTACTTGAAACTCGCTATGCTATCGGTTCCACGTCAAGGTGGCATAGAATAATCATTGACGGAAACTTGGAAACTACGGAACTTTGCCCACCCACAGGAACTCTGTCCACCATAATCTTTACAGGGGAGGAAGGCAAAAATTTACATTGTGGGCAAAGTTCCGTAAGTTCCTGAATTCCACCTAGTCTGACAACTCATCTATTTACTTGTTCGGCACAACAAAATAATTTCAATTTAGTGTTTATCTGTATTTCAGAAACAAGTGTTCCAGCGGACCTACACATGCAGTGTGGACAAACAGGTGGAGTTTCTGAACGTTCGAACGCCGCAGCAGACAACAGTGGAAATATGATTCACAATAACCAAACAGTAAACGGTATGCATTGCGTCACTAAATCATCAGGGCTTGGGATATATTGGAGATGAACATATACTAATACATGAAATTGTTCTTATAAGTTGGTGTAGTAGCCTGGGTACGACTGCACGCAATCAGCTTGTCACTGTGCCTTTCCACACTGTCCTTTTGGTGAAATGTTGCGACGGGTAAAGGATACTTCGCAGTAAATGTATCCCAGAATATATGTGAAGTCTGCTGTATGTAAACTTTGTTTGTTTGTCATACTCAGCAATATTCCATCCATATGGTGGCGGTCTGGAAACAATCGAGTCTGGACTAGACAATCCAGTGATCAACAGCATGAGCATCTTTCTACGCAGTTGGGATACAATGACATGTGTCAGCCAAGTCAGCGAGCCTGACCGCGCGATCCCATTAGTCGCCTCTTACGATAAGCACGGGTTACTGAAGACCAATTATAGCCTGACAACTTGAACCCGTTAGTTGCCACGTACGGCAAGCATGGGTTGCTGAAGATCAATTCTAACCCGGATCTTCACGGGGTGCATGCATTGTGGAATCTAATATCGCTTCCCATCAGTAGCGGCAAACAAACTTGTGTATGTATGTATAGTGTGTGACATGACATATGTTTCATTTGTATGCCTCTAATGGATTATTTTATGCATTCCAGCTTTTAAAAAGTGTAACATCACTATCTATAACAAGGAGACAACATCAGGTATGTACACACGATGCCGCCATCTACCAAAGTGACACTGATTACCTTGCTAGAACATTCAGACTGAATGTACTTAGGAATATTCAACACGTTGTCTCAAATCGCATGGTAAATGTGATAGTTATACTCTAAATGATGAATGCCATAGTTCGTGTTTATAGTTACAACAGTGGTGAAATATGACATTTTTCAATGACTAATGTCGTATCGCTACTATATATATTAAGAAAAATAGTTTTTGTGTGCAAATCAAAAGTTACAAAACAAGCGAGAATCTCATGAACATACGTATGTCTTAAATGACTCTATGGCGTTACTTAATATCGTTTAAAAGTCTGTTTTGCAAATCGAGGGTTCAGCATAGTAAATGAATGATAAAGGGTCTGGTGCATTGTGTGTGTATAATTATTTCTGACACAGTTTGATATGAAATTATAAGACCAAACACTCTCTCCAAAAAGGTCTTGATTATTTTATGATCAACCGATTAGGTATCTGTTGGACATTTTATATATAGCTTTGGATTAGCATTGAGTGTGTAGATAACTTTAATCTGATTTCTGTCATATTTCTGAACGTCAACCCTTATTTATCTTGACAGTTGTCAGAAGAGAGCAAGACATACCAGTTGCTGACAGATGTCCTGGTCCAAACCAAACGTCAAGTGGGGCTGTGGCAACGCCTCGGGATTCAGAAATGCAGGTTGCAGACTTTAAAGTCAAAGTAGATGACATACGTGACCATGTAGAAACTTCAAATGACAAAGTTAACAGGATGGAACAACAACATTCACTGCGCAATAACGTCAGAAGTACTGGTGTTCAAGAGGAAGCTGGTGAGTACACAGATGAGATGGTTCTTAATGTTGCAAAATCTATCGGTGTTGACCTGTCCCTGGAGACATCGATATCAGTCATTGAGTGCCAAGGTTGCCTCCATCAGTTTTGAACGATTTTACAGGAAGTCCTTTGTCTTGTGGGCAAGTTAAGGTATACATTCAGAGGAGTCAAGTATCTGAGACAAAACAAATCAAAACCACCTATCAAATTCTTGAGACAGCATGTTTTGTCGGACTAAAAGGTTTACTTGAAACTCGCTATGCTATCGGTTCCACGTCAAGGTGGCATAGAATAATCATTGACGGAAACTTGGAAACTACGGAACTTTGCCCACCCACAGGAACTCTGTCCACCATAATCTTTACAGGGGAGGAAGGCAAAAATTTACATTGTGGGCAAAGTTCCGTAAGTTCCTGAATTCCACCTAGTCTGACAACTCATCTATTTACTTGTTCGGCACAACAAAATAATTTCAATTTAGTGTTTATCTGTATTTCAGAAACAAGTGTTCCAGCGGACCTACACATGCAGTGTGGACAAACAGGTGGAGTTTCTGAACGTTCGAACGCCGCAGCAGACAACAGTGGAAATATGATTCACAATAACCAAACAGTAAACGGTATGCATTGCGTCACTAAATCATCAGGGCTTGGGATATATTGGAGATGAACATATACTAATACATGAAATTGTTCTTATAAGTTGGTGTAGTAGCCTGGGTACGACTGCACGCAATCAGCTTGTCACTGTGCCTTTCCACACTGTCCTTTTGGTGAAATGTTGCGACGGGTAAAGGATACTTCGCAGTAAATGTATCCCAGAATATATGTGAAGTCTGCTGTATGTAAACTTTGTTTGTTTGTCATACTCAGCAATATTCCATCCATATGGTGGCGGTCTGGAAACAATCGAGTCTGGACTAGACAATCCAGTGATCAACAGCATGAGCATCTTTCTACGCAGTTGGGATACAATGACATGTGTCAGCCAAGTCAGCGAGCCTGACCGCGCGATCCCATTAGTCGCCTCTTACGATAAGCACGGGTTACTGAAGACCAATTATAGCCTGACAACTTGAACCCGTTAGTTGCCACGTACGGCAAGCATGGGTTGCTGAAGATCAATTCTAACCCGGATCTTCACGGGGTGCATGCATTGTGGAATCTAATATCGCTTCCCATCAGTAGCGGCAAACAAACTTGTGTATGTATGTATAGTGTGACATGACATATGTTTCATTTGTATGCCTCTAATGGATTATTTTATGCATTCCAGCTTTTAAAAAGTGTAACATCACTATCTATAACAAGGAGACAACATCAGGTATGTACACACGATGCCGCCATCTACCAAAGTGACACTGATTACCTTGCTAGAACATTCAGACTGAATGTACTTAGGAATATTCAACACGTTGTCTCAAATCGCATGGTAAATGTGATAGTTATACTCTAAATGATGAATGCCATAGTTCGTGTTTATAGTTACAACAGTGGTGAAATATGACATTTTTCAATGACTAATGTCGTATCGCTACTATATATATTAAGAAAAATAGTTTTTGTGTGCAAATCAAAAGTTACAAAACAAGCGAGAATCTCATGAACATACGTATGTCTTAAATGACTCTATGGCGTTACTTAATATCGTTTAAAAGTCTGTTTTGCAAATCGAGGGTTCAGCATAGTAAATGAATGATAAAGGGTCTGGTGCATTGTGTGTGTATAATTATTTCTGACACAGTTTGATATGAAATTATAAGACCAAACACTCTCTCCAAAAGGTCTTGATTATTTTATGATCAACCGATTAGGTATCTGTTGGACATTTTATATATAGCTTTGGATTAGCATTGAGTGTGTAGATAACTTTAATCTGATTTCTGTCATATTTCTGAACGTCAACCCTTATTTATCTTGACAGTTGTCAGAAGAGAGCAAGACATACCAGTTGCTGACAGATGTCCTGGTCCAAACCAAACGTCAAGTGGGGCTGTGGCAACGCCTCGGGATTCAGAAATGCAGGTTGCAGACTTTAAAGTCAAAGTAGATGACATACGTGACCATGTAGAAACTTCAAATGACAAAGTTAACAGGATGGAACAACAACATTCACTGCGCAATAACGTCAGAAGTACTGGTGTTCAAGAGGAAGCTGGTGAGTACACAGATGAGATGGTTCTTAATGTTGCAAAATCTATCGGTGTTGACCTGTCCCTGGAGACATCGATATCAGTCATTGAGTGCCAAGGTTGCCTCCATCAGTTTTGAACGATTTTACAGGAAGTCCTTGTCTTGTGGGCAAGTTAAGGTATACATTCAGAGGAGTCAAGTATCTGAGACAAAAACAAATCAAAACCACCTATCAAATTCTTGAGACAGCATGTTTTGTCGGACTAAAAGGTTTACTTGAAACTCGCTATGCTATCGGTTCCACGTCAAGGTGGCATAGAATAATCATTGACGGAAACTTGGAAACTACGGAACTTTGCCCACCCACAGGAACTCTGTCCACCATAATCTTTACAGGGGGAGGAAGGCAAAAATTTACATTGTGGGCAAAGTTCCGTAAGTTCCTGAATTCCACCTAGTCTGACAACTCATCTATTTACTTGTTCGGCACAACAAAATAATTTCAATTTAGTGTTTATCTGTATTTCAGAAACAAGTGTTCCAGCGGACCTACACATGCAGTGTGGACAAACAGGTGGAGTTTCTGAACGTTCGAACGCCGCAGCAGACAACAGTGGAAATATGATTCACAATAACCAAACAGTAAACGGTATGCATTGCGTCACTAAATCATCAGGGCTTGGGATATATTGGAGATGAACATATACTAATACATGAAATTGTTCTTATAAGTTGGTGTAGTAGCCTGGGTACGACTGCACGCAATCAGCTTGTCACTGTGCCTTTCCACACTGTCCTTTTGGTGAAATGTTGCGACGGGTAAAGGATACTTCGCAGTAAATGTATCCCAGAATATATGTGAAGTCTGCTGTATGTAAACTTTGTTTGTTTGTCATACTCAGCAATATTCCATCCATATGGTGGCGGTCTGGAAACAATCGAGTCTGGACTAGACAATCCAGTGATCAACAGCATGAGCATCTTTCTACGCAGTTGGGATACAATGACATGTGTCAGCCAAGTCAGCGAGCCTGACCGCGCGATCCCATTAGTCGCCTCTTACGATAAGCACGGGTTACTGAAGACCAATTATAGCCTGACAACTTGAACCCGTTAGTTGCCACGTACGGCAAGCATGGGTTGCTGAAGATCAATTCTAACCCGGATCTTCACGGGGTGCATGCATTGTGGAATCTAATATCGCTTCCCATCAGTAGCGGCAAACAAACTTGTGTATGTATGTATAGTGTGTGACATGACATATGTTTCATTTGTATGCCTCTAATGGATTATTTTATGCATTCCAGCTTTTAAAAGTGTAACATCACTATCTATAACAAGGAGACAACATCAGGTATGTACACACGATGCCGCCATCTACCAAAGTGACACTGATTACCTTGCTAGAACATTCAGACTGAATGTACTTAGGAATATTCAACACGTTGTCTCAAATCGCATGGTAAATGTGATAGTTATACTCTAAATGATGAATGCCATAGTTCGTGTTTATAGTTACAACAGTGGTGAAATATGACATTTTTCAATGACTAATGTCGTATCGCTACTATATATATTAAGAAAAATAGTTTTTTGTGTGTGCAAATCAAAAGTTACAAAACAAGCGAGAATCTCATGAACATACGTATGTCTTAAATGACTCTATGGCGTTACTTAATATCGTTTAAAAGTCTGTTTTGCAAATCGAGGGTTCAGCATAGTAAATGAATGATAAAGGGTCTGGTGCATTGTGTGTGTATAATTATTTCTGACACAGTTTGATATGAAATTATAAGACCAAACACTCTCTCCAAAAAGGTCTTGATTATTTTATGATCAACCGATTAGGTATCTGTTGGACATTTTATATATAGCTTTGGATTAGCATTGAGTGTGTAGATAACTTTAATCTGATTTCTGTCATATTTCTGAACGTCAACCCTTATTTATCTTGACAGTTGTCAGAAGAGAGCAAGACATACCAGTTGCTGACAGATGTCCTGGTCCAAACCAAACGTCAAGTGGGGCTGTGGCAACGCCTCGGGATTCAGAAATGCAGGTTGCAAACTTTAAAGTCAAAGTAGATGACATACGTGACCATGTAGAAACTTTAAATGACAACAAAGTTAACAGGATGGAACAACAACATTCACGGCGCAATAACGTCAGAAGTACTGGTGTTCAAGAGGAAGCTGGTGAGTACACAGATGAGATGGTTCTTAATGTCGCAAAATCTATCGGTGTTGACCTGTCCCTGGAGACATCGATATCAGTCATTGAGTGCCAAGGTTGCCTCCATCAGTTTTGAACGATTTTACAGGAAGTCCTTGTCTTGTGGGCAAGCTAAGGTATACATTCAGAGGAGTCAAGTATCTGAGACAAAAACAAATCAAAACCACCTATCAAATTCTTGAGACAGCATGTTTTGTCGGACTAAAAGGTTTACTTGAAACTCGATATTGTAATAGAATCTAAATTGATATAGTATAAGTATTAAAAACATCATGTAAACTTTGTCAATCACAAGTGTCACCTATTTTTGTTATATCACGGTCTATCTGCAAATGTCCATCCATATTTTTAACATTAAAGTAAATAATAACCTAACAACATCATAGACAGTTACCTGGTTCTGAAGTTCACAGATCTGAGGCATCTTTAAGGGGCATATTCACTGTTGATAGTTGTTTTATCAAGCACTGAACGTTCGCGGTAGCAGCACTTGTCAGACATGACCTAATTACCACTGTGTGTCACTACGCTATTTACATCCATGAAGGATTCTACTACTGATGTCATTGTGTACTATTATTGTACAGACTTATGTATTCCATGTCTCCAAATGATATATTTATTCACTGTCTTGAATCATTGTGTATTTTGAGTGTTAACACCGATGTTTGTCAGGGACTATTTCTTGTGTACACTCCTGCTTCGTGGCTATTTATAGAAAGTAAGTGTGACTTTTGACCCAGATAAACAATGACTTATTACACTTGTTAATGACGATTTTCTGATAACTTTCTTGCTCAGAAGTGTTTTAAAGTGTATTCCATGATGGATACTAATGAAAATTACACTTGATCGAACTGAATAACGAATTTGATCTGTTTGACATTTCTCGGGTTACGGTGACCTGTCAACAACATTTACGTTAGGCTGAGTGACTAATTATAAATTGGATGTCCGTTTTTATATCAAAGCCACATATTCATTATCTGGTATTTTTCTGCATTCTTTGGTAGAAATGCCTTGCTTTACGATATAGAGGACAATGTATAACCACCTGTATTTCCTACATTTGTACCTGCAATATGACAGTCGTTTCGTGTTTTGACATTTGTTGCCGACAATCATTCTAGGCACTAATTGACAGTCTGCTGTCCGTTTTCTCTGTTTGCATTTACCAAATATTTTAGCAAACTTGTTCGTGTCCGAATTGTTAAAGGACACATGGGACAACATCAATTCCTGGATACAGGGCATATTGATGCTACACTGGGCCAAAGTTGTCAATGGTCTTAGTATACATTTGACGTCTGTCAAAATGTCGTCCCGCCACTTGGCCTGAATATAATCGTTGTCCTTATTCTTGTTATATCACATGTTTACACAAATCTCACTTGTCCATCATGGTTGATCTTTTCGGACACTTTATTTAACATAAGGACAATACCATATGATAAAGGAAACTGATGCTTTTGTAAATTTCACTTGTCATAGAGCCGACCACAAACCAAGATGGCGGCCACTGACGCTACGTTGACGGAAAGATATTGTCCGTTTTATTATAACAAATTGTCTCGATGTCCTGATTATTTCTACTGTGTCCTAATTGTATTCGGACAAGAAGGACAACATAAGGACAATTAGTAGTCACTTACTTGTGTTAGAAATGAAACTGCCTATGCAGCGTTTCTTGTATGCAAGCCATCAAACCTGTGTTCTGATTGGTTGAGAAAGGTCACATGACCTCCTGATGATGCCTATAAATACGATCACTGGTCAAGGCCTGACACTCGATTCGGATTCGCATTCGGATTCGATTCACTCGGGTCACTCGATTTAGATACAATAAGACTTTCGGTCTGATTAAAGGCTCCTGCTCTAGTTTTTACCTGGCACCTCTACTGACTTAGATTTATCATCATAACTGCTTCTAGGTATATATTTTAAGACAAATTACAATCAATTTAATAACTATATTACATACTCAGTAACATTTCTGCAAGATATTTGAGTTGAAATAACAAAATAACTATTTCCTTGGAGACTGAGCCTTGTCATTAGATATATATATATATATAGGCCGAGTAGTGTGTGATATTTATTGGCATCATTTATTTTATTGCATTGCTAACAAAATCCCATCTACATTCTTGCCATTGAAACAAAATTAAAACAAAGTTTGCATATATCACGGCAAACTTTGCTCTCTACTTCATCATCTCCTTGTGTTATTTGTTTTCTCACGTGCACCCCAAGGGTGTTGCAATTTTGGTGTCAGAAATGGGATACTGATTTTCATAATTAGTATCCAGTGGTCCGAATCCATTAGGGTTGGTAGATTCTGGAGACGATGGCAGAGTCACCAGACCCAGATGTCTTATTCAAAACTATTGATGTTGCAAGGAATTCTCCTGATGATGAACCAGATGATGATCAGATGTCTCAAATCTCCAGGGTCAGTTGTGGCTCAAGTATTAGATCTGTTTCTGATGATAGGCTACCAATGAGGCCGGGAACTCCACATCCATTGGTACAACATAGTCGCTCTGAGGGTGATGTACTTCATGGGTGTCCCAATTCTTCTCCAAGGAGAGGTCCTAGGAATAATTGTACAATAGCTGATGGTGCTACCTATGTTCACAGCCATGGGCGAATGTTTGTTCCTCCAGTAGAGGGACTCATGCCAGGCTCATCTGAGTTACCCCATGCTGAGGGTACTGATGATTACTTACCCTTCCCGAGACCCAACCAAACACGGCTAAGGCCTATTACTAAGGCAAACACACATTTTAAACCCAAGGCTGGTCTTAATTTCCATCCTGACTCATATGATGGTCATGGTGATTGGGAAGAGTACCTGTGTCACTTTGAGGCATGTGCTGAGCTTGGCAGATGGGATGACCAGGACAAGGTTTTGGCCCTTGCAGCTAGTTTAAGAGGTTCAGCACGTACCTTCTATATAGGTCTGTCTCCAGATGAGAGGCGTAACTACACTTACCTTGTCAGGAAAATTGGTGATAGATTTGGCAGTTCACATCAACAAAGTCGTTGGCTCTCACAGTTAGAGATGAGGCAAAGACGACCCAATGAAACAATTGCCACTTTAGGTGATGATCTGAGGCAGATGGCACAGCGAGCCTATTCTAACCTTGATGCTAGAGCTCAGGAAGCCCTAGCCCTAAACCAGCTGTATAAAGCAATACCTCTAGAAATGAAATGTAGATGCATGGATCGTGACTGTCGCTCTGTCTCTGAAGCTGTTGATGTTATTGAACGCTATGAGGCAATAATGGATGATTCTAAGGACAGAAAGAAGCCATCTGTACGTTATGTTGGTCCACCATCTGCTGAATTACCAGATGATAAAGGTCTTGAGAAGTACCTCAAGGACATTGCCTCAAGCATATCTAGGCTTGAAAA